AGGACATTTCTGAGGAACTCCTGCTGAGATGGCCTGGAGCTGAGACGGCCTGGAGCTGAGACAACTGATCTCCACCAACCAGAACAGTCTTTCTTTGTGCTAAGTATGACTTCATTGGGGTTTAGGAAGGGAATAGAAGTCTGCTAGCTTAAGCTCTATGTTGATAATTCGATTTTATTTAGAATGTTTGGTTAGAAGTGATAAATAGCAAGTCATGGTACATATAGAAACCTAAACCATGCTTCTTTTTTGTTATCCTGAGTCCATCTCACATTGAGGATTTTGAGTACTTTGATTAAACCTTTTAACTTTTATCACAACCTCAGGAATTGTGGGATTCAAATATCACACTTCCCAAGCAGGATGTAAACCACTATTATGGAATATAGTATCTTCTTTAGCCACAATGGGGAATACAAAAGCAGGGTGGTCCTGCTAGGATTGTATATACCACAGTTTGAGTATTGATCACTGCAATACGGCAAGGACATGACCATACTGGAGAGATGGTACAGAAGAGATTTACTAGGATGTACCATAAAGAGTTTTAAACAGAGGAATGATTGAATAGGCTCTGGTTATTTTCTTTGTAACAGAATAGGCTGTGGTAAGATGTGGTGGTGATGTGTAAATTGAGGGCCCTGGATACAGTAGTTAAGAAGGACCCATTTCTGAGAGTAGGGAGGTCAATAACCGAGATAATTAGGAGAGTTGTGGAGAAGTACTTTCACCACATCTAGAACTCACCCCCCAAAAAGCTGCTCAAGATAGAAAGCTTCATCAGGCATAGTACTTAGATGGCTGGATAATTGGACAGTTGTTTGGTCACCATGGACAAGATGAGCTCAATAGCCTCCCTCTATGTTGTATTTGTCTACATTTCTATGCCTAAGGTACACAGCTCAATTCCAGAACAATTAATTGTTAATTCCTTGGGTTGTTAGTGGTTTAATTTAAATCTGGGATTTTAACACACACAAGACTGTATGTTCCACATACAAATATTGAAAGATAGGCAGATTTGAAACAGAAGAGCAGCAAAGAAAGCAAATTAAAATTTCTGATGATGGATAATTGCTAAGAACAGAATCTGGAAAAGATTGAAAAAGCATTCTTGGCTTTATACCAAAACAGCTTTGAACCATGTCACACCAGACATATTAAAAGTTTTATGATCTCGATGATTGGAAGTGCAAAGCAAGTAGTCCAATCTTAAAAAGAAATGAAATTGAAAGAAGATTTTTTGACACTGCCAGAGAGAGAAGTTGCTTTCAAGGCAGAAAAATATCGAAGATGCCAAGCTCGGATTAAAATAGTAACTCAACCAAATCAATTCTCAAAGAGGGATTGTAGAGAAAACAAAACAGCTGGGTCAATAGGAGGCCTAGTTCAGTGATTGAACACAATGACATACTCCACAATGAGAAACAGAGACAGAGACAGACACAGGTTTTTTTGCCTTTCATGAGAAGTATTTCACTGGCTAGGTTAAAACTTTTTGCCAATCCCTAATTGCATTAACGGAGTGGCTTGCTAGACCATTCCAGAGGTCATTTCAGAGTCAACCACATTGCTGTGATCTGGAGAGTCCCATACAAGCCAGATTGGGCAAGTTTGACAGATTTCCTTCCCTAAAAAGAAATGAGGCAAAAAAATGAGGTCATGCGAAGATTAGTGATGGTTTCTTACCAGTGCCACACGCTAGTCAGAGTAGAAGTAGCAGAATGTATCAGATGAATGCATGGCTGGAGAGATGGTGCGAAAGAGAACATTTCAGATTCCTGGGACATTGGAACAAGTTCTGGAGGAGATGGGGCCAGTACAAGCTGGACAGGTTGCACCTAGGCAGGACTGTAATGGATGTCGTGGAGGTGCACTTACTGGTGCAGTTGTTGTGGGGGGGGGGGGGGGGTGGGGGGGTGCCTTAAACTAAAATGGAATGGGATGGGATCCTGTATAGGGAGGCAGAAGTAACGGAAACAACAAAAAGACAAGAAGAAATAAGAGAAAAGAGACAGGCAGAGAATTCAAGAGCAAAGACTAAACAGGGTCACAGTGCAAAATAAATGTGAACAGGACTAAATGTCAAAAAGAAAAGACTGAAGGGTCTTGTGTCTTAATGTGTGGAGCAATAGCAATAAAGTGAATGAATTGCTGTAAATCCTCTGAACCTGCAAGATCATGATTTGCAAATTTGCCTATCTACACCAAAAAGTATGCAACAAAATTCAACATTTGCAAGCAAACCTCGTGCTATTTTTAACTCATTTTTAAATGAGCTCCACAGTCGCAAATTTCATCCTATTCCGGGGTCTCAGGAACGGAACCCTTGCACATATGGAGGAATGACTGCAGTTCCGCAAATAGATATACACGAGTATGATATGGTTGGGATTACAGAGACGTAGCCACAGGGTGACCAGGCACAGGAACTGAAAATCCAAGGGTATTGAGTTTTTAGAAGGGACAGACAAAAATGAAAAGGAGGTGGAATAGCATTAAAAGAGGTCATCAGAGCAATATTGAGGAAGGATATCAGCTCTGGTGAAGTACAGTCCATATTAGGTACGGCTTAGAGACACAAAGTGGCAGAAAACAATTGTGGACATTGGATATAGACCCTTGAACTTCAGCAGTAATGTTGTGAAGACGTTAAAGAGGAAAACAGAGACGTAAGCGACAAAGGTGAAGCTGTAATTATGGGTGACTTTAATATGCATATGGATTGGACAAATCCAATCAGTAACAATGCTGCAGCAGAAGAATTCTTGGATTGTGTAAGAGGTGGTTTCTGGAATCAATTTACCAAGGTACCAACTGGAGAACAGGCCATTTTAGATTAGGTATTGTGTAATGAGAAAGACATAATTAGCAATCTAGTGGTGTGAGGACCCTTGGGGAACAGTGCCATAATATAACAGAATTCTTCATTAACAGAAGGAGTGACACACACTTTATTTAGAGTCAGGAGTTTTAGAATCAAGTAAACTATGATAAAAAGTATGAACTGGCTATGATGAATTGGAGAACATTTATTAAAAGGGATGTGGAGTGGATAGACAGTGGCAAACATTTAAAGAGTGCAGGAATGAACCACAACAATTGTTCATGTTTGTTTGGCACAAAAACGAAACAGGTTAGGTGCATGACCATGACCAGCAAGGGAAACTAGGGATATTGTTAGATCCAAGAGAGGGAATACAGCTTGGCTATAAAAAGCAGCAGACCTGAAGTTTGGGAGTGGTTTACATTTCAAGAGAGGAGGTAAAGGGAATTTGTTAAGGAGGAAGGGAACAGTAAATTTGCAGGGACCACACAAACCAGTTATAAAAGCTTCTGTAGGCATCTGAAGAGAAAAAGATTAGTTAAGACAATGTAGGTTGTTTATGTCCAGCAACAGGGTACAGGGAGAAAGTAAGAACAGGATACCGAGTTGCGATCATCAGCCATGATTATATTGCATGGTGGAGCAGGCTCACAGAGCTAAATGACCTACTCCTGCTTCTATTACTGACAATAGGTTTCACTTCCACATTTTAAATTAATTATAACTTCCATTTATATTTCTCCAGTTATCATGGTAGGATATGGAGATGGTAAGAACTGCAGATGGTAGAGTCCGAGATAACAGTGTGGAGTTGGATGAACACAGCAGGCCAGACAGCATCAGAGGAACAGGAAAGCTGATGTTTCGGGTCGGGGCCCTTCTTCATCTATGGTAAAATATGGACCTGGGATACTTCACAACTTTGATAACTGTTCAAAATTCGATCAGCAATAATTCTTTCTGGAATAAACTGTTTCCTGAGATGAAAGGAACAAAGAGCAACTGTTACAAAGGAATTAAAAACAACATGCTAACTAACCATCGCTGGAAAGAAGGAGCTGAAGCAACATAAAAAAGCTGTTTTCTGGGAGGTAAGACAGTTAACACTGAATGTGACAAGAAATGAGCAAGTTGTGGTGCAGAGCTAATGTCCCTACCTGAACCAGGAGACCCAGATTCAAGTCCCACCTGCTCCAAAGGTGTGTAATAACATCTCTGAACAGATTAATTAGAAAAATAGGTGAAATCAAAAAGAAAAGGATAGAAGCCACAGACTTGATAACCCCAGAAGTGCAATCAATGTTGTAGATGAACGGACTTAAAAGGATCATCAATAATGTCACATAAGAAACTTCACCAGACAGAAAATCCTAAAAGAATTCAATTTCAGGATGCTTTGTTAGCAGAACTCGAGAACGACACAGCACAAGGATTGAACCCTAGACATCCAGAGACAGGGCTGTTGGTTGGAATTGTAGCTAATTTCCACCAATAAATCAGGCAATAGTTAAGTTGAGTTGTGAGGCTTATCATGCTGACTCGAGAGATCTTATTTTTGTTGCTACTTGCAATAAAGTTGAAGTAATTGTTTCAATACTTGATTGAGAGATTTCTTAGGTAGCCAAATTAAAATTTGCTTATGGTAATTTACGTACAACAACTTACGCTCTCAAAACAATAGACTCTGAATAACTATTCCTGAGAGGTAGCGTTCACCATAGTGCAGTTGAATAATGTCCATATAATTCAACTAGAATCCTAAGTTACATTATGCTTAGCACAATTAAAAAAAAAAGTCCAAGATGGTGATAATGCTGAACACATATACTGCATGTTCAATGAGGCATGAAGTAAGTTATCGTACTGTTTGTAACCATTACTTCAATAATTCACCTTTGTATGTGTACAGTTGGGAAGTACAACTTGGTATGATCATTTCTTTCTTGGGTTTTGGCAAGCAAAGAGGTAAATGATGTTCAATCAATGCTGCATTTTCATTTTATTCATATTTGTTTAACTTAGGGCAAAAATGGGTAAAAGAGATTTTGAGGTTGAAATTTTGCTTTGAAGAAAAGTTCTAAATGTCAACAATTTCTGATTACTGAATGACCCAGAATAATGAAGTTCCTAAAATATTTGAAACAAGGAACTGCAACAAAAACATTCTATTTACCTGTCCCAGGGTGCATTCAAAATGTCCCAGGAAGTCATCATCTTTCAAGTCAATTGTTTTGTTGTCAATATCATAAATTCCAAACTTCAATTTCTGAACCTGCTCAAAGTAGTAATCCACAAGGAATCTCTTTGAGAATTTTGGGGCGAGGCAGTTTTTAACTCTCTCTGTCCGATCAATCTAAAAAAAAAATACATCCCAAGTTAATAAACAAAATTAAATCAAAAAGAATAAAACAAATATATGCAGGTACTAGATACCTTCAAATTACACAAAGTTATTAACTAGAGGGTTGCTAAGGCAAATAAGCCACACCTCGCTGAAAAAACAGGTTTTAACAATGCATACTATTGTTAACGCATATATCAGGATGCTAGTTCAGGGTTACAAACTTAGTTATGAATCTTCAAAATCTGTTAGCTGATACCTTATAGAGGTGTATAAAATCTTGAAGGGCATGGACAAACTAAATAGGCAAGGTCTTGTCTCCAGGGTGGGGGAGTCCAAAACTAGAGGGCATAGATTTTAGGTGAGAGAGGAAAGCTATTAAAAAAAAGGGACCTAGGGACAACATTTTCATGCAGAAATTGATATGTACACTGAATGAGCTGCCAGAGGAAGTGGTGGATGCTAGCACGAAAACAACAACATTTAAAGGTCATTTAGATGGGTACATGGATAGGAAGGGCTCAGAGGGATATGGGCAAAATGCTGCAAATGGGACAAATTTATACAGGGTATCTGGTAGGCATGGACAAGTTGGACCAAGAGGTGTATTTCCATGCATATATCTCTATGGCTCTAAGTCATGCACCCATTTGCCACAGAACAATATTGAAAATTGCTAACGTTATGTCAATCCATCACCCTGGTCTGGAAAGGGAATATTTTAAACAACCAAGTCTCATTCTAGCATGTGGTTGCATTTGAAAACTTCAGAACGTCCAAAATTTACACTTAATGTTATTACTTCTTGCTTCAAATGTCTCTCTCCGTGTAAGATTATCTAATTCACCCTCCTTCGTGGTCATTTCTCTTATTTCCTTCACAATCCATGGTTAATCTCAATCCATCACCTAGATCCCCTTTCTCTTATTCTTTAAATTCAAAATTCTTAACAGACAACTTCCCTTTCAATTGTTAATTCTACCCAAGAGCTCTCTTAAAACTTCCAGGATCTTGACGATTCCTTCAATTCTCTTGCAGCCAAAGTAAGGTGTGCTCCAGCTCTTAGGAATTCACTTTGATTTACCTCAGTGCTCCTGTTATTATCCAAGGTGTAAGATTTTTGGGGCCTCTCTGCTAATACTTGGCCAGGAGACCCTCCACTCAATATTTCCTTGCTCAGTTGCTCCAGAACCATAACAGTCTGGTTTCCAGCAGCCTTTTGCTACTAGCCTCAACTACTTCCAAGAACAAAGCTTCCAAGCTTTCTTTCCCTCTGCTTCAAACATTTAATTAACACACTTCTGCTGGTGAGAAAACAGATGAATAAACCTAATACAAAAGGGCACCTCCACTATAATCCATTCTCCTGGCAATGTGACATACTTGGGATGTCCCAAAAATTCAAACTAGTTTTTGAATACTTCAAAGAACATAGAACAGTACAGGCCCTTCAGCCCACAATGTTGTGCCGACCTATTATCCTACTCTAAGATCAAACTACCCTGCATTATACTATCATCCATGAGCCTACCCAAGAGTCGCTTAAATGTCCCTAATGTATCTGACTCCACTACCACTGCCGGCAGTGCATTCCACACACCCATCACTCTCTGTGTAAAGAACCTACCTCTGACATCTCCCCTAAACCTTCCTCCAATCACCTTAAAACTATGCCCCCTCGTGATAGCTATTTCCACCCTGGGAAAAAGTCTCCGGCTATCCACTCTATCTATGCCTCTCATCATCTTGTACACCTCTATCAAGTCACCTCTCATCCTTCTTCGCTCCAATGAGAAAAGCCGTAGCTCCCTCAACCTTTCCTCATAAGACCTGCCCTCCAGTCCAGACAGCATCCTGGTAAATCTCCTCTGCACCCTCTCTAAAGCTTCCACATCCTCCCTATAATGAGGCGACCAGAACTGAACATAATATTCCAAGTGTGGTCTAACCAGGGTTTTGTAGAGCTGCAGCATAACCTCGCAGCTCTTAAACTCAATCCCCCCTGCCAATGAAAGCCAACACACCAAATGCCTTTGTAACAACCCTATCAACTTGGGTAACAACTTTGAGGGATCTATGGATGTGGACCCCAAGATCCCTCTGTTCCTCCACACTGCCAAGAATCCTGCCATTAACCCTGTACTCTGCATTCAAATTCGACCTTCCAAAATGAATCACTTCACACTTTTCCGGGTTGAATTCCATCTGCCACTTCTTTGCCCAACTCTGCATCCTGTCAATGTCCCGTTGCAACCTACAACAGCCTCCACACTATCCACAACTCCACCAACCTTCATGTCATCAGCAAACTTACTAACCTACCCTTCCACTTCATCATCCAAGTCAATTATAGAGCAGAGGTCCCAGAACAGATCCCTGCGGAACACCACTAGTCACCGAACTCAGGCTGAATACTTTCCATCTACTACCACCCTCTGTCTTCTACTAGACAACCAATTCAGTATCCAGACAGCCAAATTTCCCCGAATCCCATGCTTCCTTACTTTCTGAATGAGCCTACCATGGGGAACCATCCACTGTTTATCCATTGCTTTCAATATTTTTTCTTCTTCAACTTAGGACCCATATGAATATTTTAAACACCTTATGAAGATTTCCATTATCATTGTCTCACCACCAAGACTCAAAAGGTTCAATCCCCTGATCATCGGTTTTCCCAATTCCAACTCTAACCTTGTGACATAACCACAGGCTATCCCATGAACTGTAATTACTTCACATTTGTTTATCAGACTCTCAAATGCAGATTTTTTCAATTAATCTTTCAGAAATTAAAATATAAATCATTAAATTAAACACTGTAAAAACATCATCTCCAGCTGCAAACTCCATCCCTCTCTCTCTGGCAATCTTGAAAATAAATCAGCTTGTTTGCAACCTTGGTGTCAAACTTGATACTGAAATGTGTTTCCAATCAGATATATTTGTGCCATTACCCTATCTAGCCTGACTCAACTCATCTGCTGCTGAAACCCTAATTTCTGCTTTTGAACTTGATTATTTCAATGTATTTCTTGCTGCTCTCTCACCTTTTACTCTCTATAAAATAGAAATCAAACTGCCCTTAACTCATTCCAAATCCTATCCCTCCACATCACCCCAACGGTTGCTGAGCTACATTGACTCCTGATCGATTAACGTTCCGATTTTAAAATTCTCTTATCTCCAAATCCCTCAGCAGCCTTACTCTTCCATAACTCTAATCTCCACCAGTCCCATAATCTCGGAAATATCTGCTCCTCTAATTCTAGCCTCTTGAATCACCATGCTTTAATTCCACCTTACCTATCTAAGCTCAAAACTCTGAAGTCATAGAAAAATGGACTTGTGATAGTGCAGAAGGCCATTCAACTACATTTGTCCATACTTGGAAGGAACAGTTCATTTACAGCCACTCCCCTGCCTTCTTCATACAGGTCCGCACTTTCTTTCAGATAACACTCCATTTCTCTCATTACTTCCTTAAATGAATGAATCTGCCTTCATCACACACACAGACAGCACATTCCACATCCAAATCACTTCCTCAGTTAAAAAGATTTCTACATGTCATCATTGTTTTTGACATTTAAAAATGAGCTTACAGTAGCTAGAGCTGACTGGGTTTCTGGGTAGCATTAAAAGATTCAAAACCACTGAGCAAGTCTCAACATTCAGAATTCAATCAATTACATAGAATTTACAGTGCAGAAACAGGCTTTTAAACAGGATTTATCTGATCTCTACTGTTGGTTATGCTCCTCGGTTGGCCTTCTTCCAATCTATTTCAACTAACTGTATCACATATCCTCTTAGAACAGCAAGAAATTGTATCTGAGAAACATTTTTTTCATAAAGTGTGCAAGGCTGTTCACAGGAGCATTATAAAAGAAAAATTAGACATCAAGTCACAAGAGGTGCAATTAAAGATGGAGGGCATTACGCTTAGTCAAAGGAATATCTCTAGACACCGGCTGCACAATGCACATTTGCCCTTCTTATCAAGATCGGCTCTGACAAGCCAAACGGAAATGAATTATCCAATATATTAAAATAATAAGATAACTGAAGAACATAGGTCCACAAACTTTATTTCCTGTAAATGCAGCTCTTTGCAGAGATCCATTGATAAGATTCAATTTAATCTTGTCACATGTAAAACACATGGACTCCACAGAGCATTGCATTTCTTGCATTTACTAAAATCACTCGAACTACAGCTTAACACTGGCACAAACTAGTCAGGATAACTGGTCTGTTTCTGACCTATACATCCACATATAACTGTGTAATTTCTAGGACCTGATCCCACACTACATTATTCATATGTTATAATCTATAAATGTAAGTGTCTTGATTGGGCCACATTCTTCCAGTGTCTGCATGGGCTTCCACCAGGTGCACCTTTTTCCTCTCACAGTACAAACATGTGCAGGTTAGGTGGATTGGCCATGCTAAGTTGTCCTGAAGTGTCCAGGGATGTGCTGGCTAGGTGGATTAGCCAATGGGAAAAGCGGAAATAGGGTTGGAGAGTTGGTCTGGGTGGGATGCTCTTCAGGCGGTCAGTGTGGGCTCCAGAGGCCAAATGGCATCTATCTGCGCTATAGGGATTCTATGATTCTATGATGCCCAATTAGCACCAGCAAGCATTGTTTAGATTCACGAGCTGCCTTCCAAGTACAAAGGGAAATAACAGACATGATGGAGCCTGCTGCTGTTTTAATGGAGAGGAGGTAACACATCAGAATATCATCAACCTCAACACACAAAAGTAGGCAGAGACACAAATGAAAGGGTAATGCTTTTGATCCATCACAAGATCTTTCCACATAAATAAAAATTTTTAATTTTGTCTGAACCTGACAGCTATGCACTAATAATCACCAGACTGCCCGAGTTTGGCAACTAATAATTGTATTCTTGCATTTCCTGACCTGTTAACAAGGTCTTCAAGGAGCTCAACAGGCTGTCAACTGCAGACAAGTTGGTCCTTACCATATCTCTATCAGCTTAAAGTATTCAAATGGAGGCATTGGGACACTGTCATCCCATTCCGGGGCACTATTTTCAAAGCACAACCACTCTTCTCTGAGCCTCTAGAATAACTGAAAGACACTGCTGTTAACTCCAACCAGTAACTCCCACTGAAATGTAACGTGAGAACGTGAGCAAACTTAGCTCTGATGCCGTGTCCCCATCCAAATGTTAAATGTACTGATGACATTGACATTTTAGATTTACAGAATGGCTCCACTGGCAAGATATCAAGGCTAGCCAGTGTTTTAAATAATCACCAAGCGCGTATCTTTTAATGATTTTGAAACATTCATGGATAGAGACCCAATACAGTTATATACACAAACCATTACAGATGTAGGGAAAGTTGATAAGGTAGTTGAAAAAATATGGATTAATTGGCCTTCTAAAACAAAAACTAGAACATAAAAGCAAAGTGGTCATGCCAGAACTTTACAGATCACAAGGATGGCCTCAGCTGTAGACACTTCAGAGAAGATGTAAAAGATTGAGAAAAGGATACCAAGGAGATTCGTCAGGATATTCCTGCATACGAGGGACTTTAGTTACAAAGAGGTTAGAAAAATTAGCATCTGATAACCTTCTCTGTAACAAATTGAAAGGAGTCTGATGTGGTTTTTAGGATTAGGAGAAATTTCGATATTAAAGAAAGACTATACCTCTGATGACTGGGTCAAAAATTAGAGGTAACAAATGCAAAATTCAACTATAGACATCTAGAAGGGAGATCAAAAGGTGCTTTTTCAGAACTGTCAAGACCAGGAATATTCCAGTGAAAAGGTGATGGAAGGTAATTTCTTAAAATAATTTTAAAACATATTTTAGAAAAGCATTCAAGGACAAGGGTCTTACTTAACAGTTTACAGGCAAAATACAGGAATGTAAAGCTAAGTACAACTGTTCTGATCCAAAAAAAAAACAAGAAGCATTGAGGAATATTTCTAATTTATCTAAATTGCTTGTGGAATCTATTTGTTTTTATAAGAAGATGCAAAAGGACTTAAAGAGCAGTTGTAAAGGAGTCAACTGCAATTTTCTTGGCCATTAAATACTGGTACTGACGACTTTTGACTTTGCTGGAAATAATAATCAACAAGGAAGTTAAGTCATGGAGTTTGCAAATGCAAAAGGAGAGAATTGTAACACAAATGACATTTAAAATTTGAAGACGAGCAGGTAACAGGTACAAACACAAAAAGCAGAGACAGAATAGAACGTGCAGAATTTGTGTGAGGTAAAGATAGAAAAGCTCTCTACGCGTTCTGTTTTCTGTGCAGCAGCAAGAAAAAAACACAAGAAACTCTTGGGAAGCAACATATAAGCAATCTAAAAGAAACTGAATTCTTAAAAAAATGGGCATTGCAAATAGTTCTGGTATCCAAAAGACAGCTCATAAATTGCATCTGAAGATGAGATCATGAACTGGGTATGTTCACTTGGTCAACTATAAAGGAACTCTAGAAAGCTATGCAATTAGGCTGTTTGTGACCTAAGAAGGTGAGGGTTCAAAGAAATCTGGGTTTACTGACGATAACTGTACCAATGAAAGCTTGCATTAGACTGGATTCCTGACCTACTCTGTGGGAGTAAAGAACAGCATGTAGTGTAGTGCCACATGCATGCAGAGAGTAATGCGGTTGCTTTTGGTTGTGTAAGATGTATCTTTGTTGTATTGACTATTCCAAGCAATATTTATCTTTGTTTGATTTATCATTTATCTCTTAATTCATGTTAAAGTTACAAAGAGTGAAACCTTGTTGGTAAAAATTTCTTAATTTGGAGGCAGTTGGCAGATTTATTTATTTTATTTCAGCTCCCCCTTCAGGAATTTTAATGTTTCAATAAGGTAGCACAGGCAAAAGAGACATTACGGCCTCTACCTATGATGCAAGTTTCTACAATTGGGAATCAACAGTTTAGGACTAGGACAAGGAAGTGAACTGGAAGAAGATAGAGGTGAAGAATAGCGTTAAAAGTCTGTCATTTTTTGGACAGTTTTCCTTGAGCGGTTTTGAGAGTCAATGCAAACAGCATACATAGTAAGAATTTCTTTCATCATTATTTCTATATACAAGATAAAGCAAACATTGGAAACCTTCCACAATCAGATGGAGAAAATGGAAAATGCTTGGGGAAAAGGTGAGAAAAAAAATTCAAAAGCTAACACTGAGTATGAATTAAATTCGATTACAGTATCTTGAACTAGATTAATCTTGAAAATAAATGGACTTTCAGGACAAGCTTGAAGAAAAATACATTGGGGAGAAATGCTTACCTCAGCCCATTGATTTTCGCCAGTACTCACGAATAACACACACAATGGATCAGACTTCGAACCAACATCTTTATCTAATAGATTCTCACAGGAGACACTCAATTCAACTTTAGTCACGCACTGCGCCATTTGTTATCTTGTTAAATGCTGATGAAAAATCTGTAGATCAATTAAATTGAGCAAATTGTCAACTTTTAAATCAAGAATTAAAATGCATTAAATATTTGTGCGAAACACAATTTTCTTTAACATCTCCCTCACCATTCCACATATTATCAAGAGAGGAATGCAAGCTTCTCAACTGCTCCCAACATTACATAGGTGTGCAAGAGTCACTAATTTGCTTTTTTTGAAAAATCAGGAAGTCATTTGGTCTTCACTTGGCCAAGATTGAAATCCACTCACATGAATACAGGAAAAAGCTGTAATTCTACAAGTCCGTGTAGTTGCCTTTGGTGCACCTCTCTTGTGCTACAGGATAGCATGACATATAACTCCATACACAGCTGAGCATTATTTACAGAGCTTGTATCTTATTTCTAATTAAGTACAGCATAAAGGCAGGTCTAACTGATACCGCAACATTTATTATTTAAGATAAGCCAAAGCTCTGATATACAGTTTAGCGGTCAACAAAGAGAATTCTGGTAGATAGAGAAAATAAAAAAAATTAAAATGTCTAAAGCACAAATTCTAAAGATTTTTAATACATATTTAAGCTACATTATGATTTTATTGTTTAAAATTAGTCACTGGAAAAATTGAAGTTCAATTCATTTTGAAATTGCAACAAACGTTGGAAGAGAACAGTCATCCACACAAGCATCTGGCTCTCTTGGCCAATTCAACAACATGAAAACAAATTGTTGTTGCAGTCTAATCTAAAGTATGTCTTGCATATCACACAACAGTTCCAGTCATCTGTAAAAGGTCTCCCTTGATTTATATTTTAAATACTAGGAATTCTAGCCAAGTACTAAAGGGCAGGCAAATATTCAAATACCTACTGATTGGGGCAGGCCAAACTGAAAGCAGCCCTACCCTTAGCCCTTTGTGATCTTTTAGAAAATTTATGCAAGGCCATAATTTAGTTATATATCAGAGAATTATTGCTGAATGCACAGCATGCAAACACTTCGGCTAAACCAATTTGAAGAATTGTAAAAGGTAATTCATAGCAGGGGCCTGGCAGCAGTATTGCAATGAGAAGTGAGCAAGCTCCAAACTGTAGTATTGAGGTGATGAACTGGATTATAAGCGAGTCCAAATGTGCTCGGACAATGTGGTACTTTGCCAATGCCAACCTCGGTGGATGGAGAATGCAGACAGTTGTTGTCCATGGGTTATGCCCTGAAGCGTAGAGAAATGCTGACCAAGATGAATACCTGGTGAAGAATGCCACAGAGTTGCAGCTCCCATTTGCCTACTCGGGTTTTCACGTGTCAGGAACTGTTGCCATCTACTTTCTCTCCAGTGCCTGGGCAATAACATAATGTTAATGCATGCAAAATGGGCCTCTCATCAATCATTAGCGAGATTCATGTTTCATTATTAAAACTTTCTGTGGAAAAAAAGTTGACTTTCAATTGTCAGGAATCTCACTTTTTCTATTCTTGGCCATTCTTTCTTAGCTGACTCATCATTTCCCATGTTCGAGAGCTGGGAAGATTCCATCCTATAGATCAAAATGAAGGGATAGGCCAAATACAAATAATACATTGAGATCAGAGATGAGTTGTCAAAGTAACATCCTCACCTGTTACTTCTGGGAATTAAAGACTATGATAAATCAAAATAGCTGGGGTATCTAAATAAAATATCAGAATTCCAATGAATCTGACTTTATAGTCCAAGAAAGGCCAAGGCTTTTAATCTTGGTGTGTCAGCCGACTAAGAAATTTCGTTTGTGTAGTGAAAGGCATCAAGAAAAATAAGACATATCAAATGTGACCTCTTAACTGTTCATGTTCCTTAGTGATGGCTAGACAGCATGATCATGTCCAACAAAAAGAGAATCTAACCATTATCCCTTGACATTTAAGGGCACCACCAATTGCTGAAATCCTATCACATTCTGGGGTTTACTATTGACCAGAAACTGAACTAGACTAGGCATACATCAACTGTGATTACAGGAGCAGGTTGGAGGCTAGGCATCTCACAGCAAGTAACTCACCTCCTGACTCCCCAAAGCCTGTCCATCATCTACAAGTCAAGTCAAGAATGTGATGAAATACTCAGTTGTCTGAATCACTGCAGCTCAAAGAAGTAAGACATGATCCAGGGCAGAAACAGCCTGCAGGACTAGCATCACCTCCACAAACATTCACTCCTTCTATCATCAACACTCAGTAGCTACAGTGTGTACTGCAGAAATTCACTAAAGCTCCTTCCAAATAGCACCTTTCAAATTCATGACCATACTATCTCAAAAGGACAGAGCAGCAGATATCATGCGAACACCACCACCTGCAAGTTCCCCTCCAAGCCACGCACCATTCTAACTTGGAAATACATCGCTGGTGTTGCTGAGTCAAAATTTCCTAACGGCATTTTGGGTATACCTACACCAAGTGGACTGCAGTGGTCCAAGAAGGCAAATCACCACCACATTCTCAAGGTCAACTAGGGACAGGCAACAAATGCTGGTCCGACCAGCGACACTCAAATCCTGTGAACAAATTTTAAAACGATATGGGCAAAGGGTAGGATCTCTGACTTGCATTGTGGTTGTACTCTGTTTAAATGTTGTAAATCATTTCAATGCACTTCATAAGTGTGCTATCAGATAAATTGCAACACTGAGCTACAGAAGATAAAAGAACTGATAATCAAAAGCTTGATAACAAGGTAGGTCAGGGATTCCCAAATGCTGGGGCGGAAAGGCAGACAGATGCAAAGAACATTAAGGAGGGAGTTCCAGGTTGTGCAGAACTAATGCACTGCTGCTAAAGATGGGGCAAAGGAACTGAAGGATACAAAAAGAAGGCAGAATTAAAAGAATGCAGAAATCTTAAGAATATAGGGCTGGAGGGGGCCATGACAACATCCTACAAAGTCCATTTCGGGTGTGGAAACATGACTACATGGGTTCAAACACAGAATTTGGGAATGACGAGTACAAATTTGGAATTAACAAAACACTCAATAACTTGATGAGAAGAAGAATTTGAGCATAATTTGACAGTATGCAAGGACAACTAAAAACAACTCGATGAAAAAACCTAGTTATTTTCGAAGTTACATGACATATAATTATGGCACACCAACAGCAGATGGTGCACTATAAGTATATACTCTCTGTTTACATTACCCTGTATAATTCATATTTTGACAACATAAGGCTACTACCTTGTTAATCATATCGAGACAACCCATCTATTTTCTCACCACTGTGAAATACATTTTTATGGTTCCAACAACAGTGTTGTACATATATTTCAATGTTGACTCTTCATGTTCTGTTTTTAGAACAGTGAGTCTACTTCACTCAACTGCTTTTCGGAGCAATGAATGCAGTCTGGTCACATCCCAAGAGGAAATACTGTCAGGGATGCCAGGAATATTAAAACAATGAATGATTTATACAACATCCATTGTTTACTATCCACAAACTGATGTGTGACAGAATAGGGTAATGATATTTTGCCAGCCGTTTGCACAATACAATGTGCTATGACTAAAATAAGCCAACCTCAAGATTCTAAACAGATAATTATATATCAACGCAGCTTATTTGCAAATTTGATTATTCTAATGCCATATAACTTCCATATTTTGGTGGGGTGGTTTCAGACAAGAGTTGCAAAATACTTTGCAGGAGGTATTGGTATAGAAACTAAAGAATCGGTAACTGATTTCAAATTTGGTCATTGGGTTTATAGTTAGATACGATCACCACAGTTTTCTGGATTTGAAAGTGTGATTGCATCAAATTTTTCTTTTGAAGTTATAGAATGCATGCAATCGATTATACCTTCATCAAATGCCACTGCATCAGCAGATAAAGAGTGCCAACAAGATACGTAATCATTTTCTGTCAAATGTATCTGCATTCTGCTTAGCTGGCTGCTGGCAGAATCAATATCTTGTTACACGCACAGAGGTTAGACTGAGCATTAATTTTATTTTCCCTCAATTTATAAGATAGCCCCACATGGAAGAATGTTCAGACCCTCAGACATTACACCACAAGTGTAATTGTACTAATGGGAGGATAGGTACATAAGCTATCACAAATCCTCTATCAATAACTGGGAAAACACATACCACATATCACCTTTTACTGCAGTTATGAATCTAAGAAATCCTCTTCCAAATTTTCTAGCTAAAAAGCTACAAGTCAGAGAATTGCTACATTTTAGACCATCAAGTATAGATGTCTTGAGGAACTGATTTTTGTCGACAGCTATTCCTTGCTTACCACAAAACGGTATGTTAAATGATACAAAATGCCAAAGGAAAAAGAGGCCCTAAAGGGAGTTGTGTACTCTCTTTGGTACACAAAGAGTAGCAGTAGTCAGGATGTGGGGAAGAATATAAATCAGGATATAGAAAAGGCACGCAGAAAGGCACCATTACAATAACTATAGGGAGCTTCAATATGCAGGTGGACTGGGAAAATCAGTTTGGTAACAGATCAAGAAAAGGAATTTGTGGGATTTCTACAAGATGGATTTTTGGAGCTGCTTGTGGTACAGCCCACTAGGGAACTGGCAATTCTGGATTTAGTAAGATGTAATCAGGCAGACTTGATTAGGGAACTTAAAGTCTTCACTGCTAGGGGGGCAGTGACCATAATATGATAGAATTCACCCTGCAGTTTGAGAGGGAGAAGGCTGAATCAGATGTAATGGTATTACAATTGAGTGAACATAACTACAAAGACATGAGGGAGGAGCTGGCCATAGTTGATTGCAAGGAGACCCTAGCGGAAATTCATCCCATGGAAGAAGAAATCTATTAAGCGGAGGGTGAGGCAACCATGGCTGACAAGAGAAGTCTGGGACAGCACTGAAGCAAAAGAACAAGCATACAATGTGATGAAGATTAGTGGGAATCCAGAAGTTTGGGAAGCCCTTTAAAAGCCACCAAAGGACAACTAAACGAAGCAATAAGTTGAGGAAAAGATGAAATATAAAAGTAAGCTTGCTCATAAT